GGACTAAGCCCCTGGTCAGGACAGGCCCTGGTCAGGACAGGCCCTGGTCAGGACTGCCCCTGGTCAGGACTAAGCCCCTGGTCAGGACTGCCCCTACGTCAGGACAGCCCCTGGTCAGGACAGGCCCTGGTCAGGACAGGCCCTGGTCAGGACAGCCCCTGGTCAGGACATCCCTTGGTCAGGACAGGCCCTGGTCAGGACTAAGCCCCTGGTCAGGACAGCCCCTGGTCAGTAATGAGCCCCTGGTCAGTAATGAGCCCCTGGTCAGGACTGCCCCTGGTCAGGACGTGAAGGCGTGTTACCCAGGGCTGCTCCCGACAATGACCCGTGTCTCTGTGTGAGCCCTACTCTCGGATGTCCAGGCCACTGCTGCCCACCTGCTAGCCCTGCCCTCCAGGGACTCAAGGCCAGCAGGGACCACAGGGATTGGTCTGGCCACCTGGAGCCCGACCGGAGGCCATGGGCGTCACTGGCCTTCTCAACTCCCTGATCCTCACCTGCAGAGGAAGGCGAGTGAGTTGCCCCCTTGGGTCCTCGCAGGGGTGGACCCTCGCAAGGCACATGCTGGCCGCCTCGGCCCCCCAGCCTGGGCACACTGCTCACAGAGCCCACCCTCCCTAGTGACCCTGCTTCGCAGGGCCCACAGACAGGTTCCTGCTGTCTGACTGCCGCCTGGCTCAGAGGAAATGGGCGCAGGACATGGCCAGGGTCCAGCGCAGTGGTGACGGGGGCTCCGCGAGCGCCAGGGCTGGCTTTCTCTGCACGGCAGGCTTGTGTGGTGGGGGTGCGAGCCTGGGGGCAGCTGAGCCAGGTGACCCAAACACAGGCTGTCACCTGCTCTCTGCATCCCTGGGCTGAGCCTGCTGACCTCTGCCTGGTAGCCTGGCCAGTAACAGAGGCCAGCGGGTGGGAGGTCCCCCACCCCCAGGCCCGCAGGCAGGCAGCAGGAGGCAGGGAGGCAGGGCTGCCCCGGTCTGGGTCCCGTCCATCCAGCACTGTTGCCAGGTGGGCAGCAGAGGGCGCCCCCCACCCACGATTGCCCAGCAACACCACTTGGCCAGCTTCCTCCACCCAGCGCAGGGGAGAGGGTGGGAGGAGGGGCTGGGGAGCAGAGCCTACCGCCTTGAAGGCAAACGGGGAGTGGGGACCAAATAGGAGCCTGCCCTGCCCCTCCCACTCAGAGCCTATGGCCTCGTGGTCCCTGTGGTTCCCTGCTCTGGACAGTGGCCCCAGGCTGCAGTCTGGGCCCTCTGGGGGCTGCAGGTCCCCAAGGCAGGGGCTGTGTCTTGCTGGTGGCTGTGTCCAGGGCCTGGGGTCCCCAGCCTGCCTGGGACCTTCCTACTGTCATTGTCAAGGTCACGACAGCCACACTGTGCCCATGGGAGTCCAGCCTGTTGCAGGGCCAGCCTCGGGCCTCAGGCCCCACCTCTGAGCTGAGCTGTGACCCTGCCCTTGAAGTCCGGGCTGGGACCCTGGCAGGAAACTGGCCAGCTGCCCCGATCTGGGTTCTCCTCCGAGGCCGCCCTGCCCACAGCATACTGCAGCTGTCCTGAACTGCATCAGAGAGGGGCACGGGCGCCTGACCCCTCCTGGGCTGCACCCCATGACAGTGAGGCCACAACCTGGGGGGAGGGACTGAGCAGACTGGGACCTACAAGCCAAGTCCTCTGCCACCCAGTGGGGGCTTCCAGGCCCTGGCTCCCGGGGGCCTCCTCCAGGGCTCCCACTGGACTAGGCGGGGACCCCAGAAGGGCCAGTCCTGGCTCCCAGGAGGGAGTGGAGCGGAGCAGGCCCCTGGCACCGCACGGCCCTGTTCTCAGCCCACGCTCCGGGTCTGGTGGGAGGCCCCGGCGTTCCTGAGAACCACAGACCTGCCCCCAGCACATGCCCTGGGGAAGGAAACCAGAGGTGGGGCGGCAGGCTGGGTGGTCTTCCCGTCAGCTCCCTGTGTCCACCAAGAAAATTTCTACCCCCGAAGGGGTGGACCTCGGCCCCCAGGGGGCTGCTACCATGATCCCACCACCAGCTTTCGCCAGCCGGGTTTCTGTTCCCAATTTGGGGAGCCCCAGCTTCCAGGATCTCATGTCCCTGGCCAGAGGTCACAGGGCTAGTGGGTGACAGAGCTGGGACCCACGCAGACTGCCCCTGCCTCCTGCTGTCCTCCGCCAAGCCACGGCAGGCAGGGCTCACAGCTTCTCTGAGCCACAGCAGGGTCAGAAAGCCCTGTGGCCCCGTTTCCCGTGTGGAAATCCTGTGTGTCCAAGGTGCTGGCCGCAGTTCTAGCACTGGGGTCACCTGTGCTTGTCCCCTGCAGGGGTGGGGGCACCCCTTCTCCCCAGGGCTCAGCAGGTGAGGGAGCTCTGGCCTCATCTTCCTGTGACCTGGGCCCTTGGATCCAGCTGATGCGGGTGGCCCTGGGTGGGGTGTGGCCAGGGCCGTCCTCTAGCCCAGCACCACAGGGGCAGGAGCAGGTCTGTCCAGGCCAGGACCAGCGTGGGGGTGAGGGAAACCCGGATCCCAGGCCCAGCAGGGGGAGGGCCTGCCACCCCCGCCCCGGCACACCCCACCTTTCTGGGATGGAAACTGGCTGGCTGGCGGCTGCAGCCCCTACATGAAGGGGGGGTAAGCGGGTGTGAAGCCCAGGGGGGCAGGGTGCACCCCACCCGTGGGTCCTAGCAGAGCCCCAGTCCAAGGGGAGGCAGGAGCCCCACGCCAGACGGGGGTCCCGAGCATGCCCCAGGCAGCTGCGTCTCCCATGCAGCTTCCCTTGAGCCCCTGGTGCCGGACAGGAAGTGACTCCGGTTCCAGGAATGCTGGGCGCCCTGGCCAGGCTCCGGGAGCCTGAGCTCTGGGGCCAGGCGGCCAGCTGTGCGTGCTTCCTGGGAAGCCCCTCCTCTGGGGCCCCAGTTCTGCCGAAGTCTGTGCTTGGCTGGAGAGGGAGCAGGCCTCTCCCCCAGGCTCCGTCCTGCCAGATGTTTTCTTTCCACAGAAGAGGCCAGCAGAAGAGGCCAGCGTGAGGTAATGGAGAAGATTAACCCCTCCAGCCCCAGTCCAGCTCGGGGCCCAGCCCCGCTGGCCCGCGTGTGCCAGGCAGCGTCCCTGCGGAGACTCGGGAAGGGAAGGTGTCCTGCTGGGTCAGTGTCTCCAAGGGTCCCTGCATGTCTTTGGGGTGCTGCAGCCAGTCTCAGGGCAGCGGCCTCAGCAGAGGGCCCTGCATGGGCACATGGCCAGCCCCTCCCCAGCACACAGGCTTCCCTGGAAGGCCTCTGGGTCAAGAGATCCCTGAGTCAGGCTCCTGGCCTACCCAAGAACCCCTGGACACAACCCCAGTCCTGCCCTCCACAGGGCACCTGGCCTGCCCACTCAGCCCACTCTGGGCTCCCTGCCAGGACTCTGGGGACTTTGGTGAGCAGGATAGGTGCCCAGCTCTGTGGCGCCACGCTGAGGCTTCTACCCAGGTACCCACCTCGGCCAGCAGAGTGGCCATGGCCACCTCCTGCTGACTGTCTATTGCCCTGGCAGGCCACGTGAACCCCAAGCTCCCCAACTCTGCAGAGAAGACAAGATTGAAGGGGTCTCCAGGCCCAGGCAGTGGGACGGGGCCAGGGAGGGGTGGCCAGCCTGGTTGAGGAGCCCCTTCCTGCGTCCCGAGGGTCCTGCCCCGTGGGCCTCGCCACGTCCTGCAGCACATGCTCCCGGCTTAGATGTCGGCTCCTGCCTCTACCTAGAATCCGTGTCCACCTGGGGGGTGGGCGCTGCGTGTCCACCGAGCCCTCAGGGCTGCACTGCCGGGCGAGGGCCCGGGTGGGGCTCCATGACCAACTTCCACTAGGAACCAGTGGGGGTGGGACGGGCCATCTTCTAGGGGTCCCCCTGCCTTCCTCAGGGGGCTCGGGTCTCCAACTGACCAAAGCCCCCAGCACGTCTGCCCTGGGCACATGGCCTGCCACCAGCCCCAGATAGCCTCAGCCTGGAGCCCTGTGGCCAGCAGGGGACTCCACTGGCATCAGGCCCAGCCCCACCCTGGGGCCATCTCTCTGAAAGAGTTGGGTGCACAACCAGGGCCCCCGCGTCTGGTTCTCACCAGAAAACAGGAGCCTCAGCTTTTAGGGAACAGAAGAGAAATAAGTTAGGCCAGGCGCAGGCGGGGAAGCCCGCCAGCCCCACTCATCGCTGCCTCCGAGCTGGCGGGAGGGGGCGGGCCAAGGGCTCTGCACTAACTGCCTGCATCTGGGAGCACTTACAGAGGCCGCGGCACAGGCCCAGGGAACGGTGGGCCCCTCTGTCCCCTGATACCCAGAGACCCTTCCAGGACAGACCAGGACGCCACCCTGTGCGCTCTGGGGAACTCCTGAGGTGGGCGTGGGCCAGGGCGGGCGTGCTGTGCACAGCAGCCGTGGCCCAGGACTGTCGCCGGGCCTGGACTCAGTGGGCACCCCTGCTGTTGAGCCTTCAGGCTGTGCCCAGACACTTCAGTGGGAGCTGCTGCGAAGGAGCCGTGTTGGCCGTGACTGCCCAGTCAGCAGGATGGCCCTCGCAGTGAGCACGCATGTCCACTGGGCTCTGCTGGCTGGCCTCTTGTCCGGACCAGGGGAGGTGTCCCGCACCGCGCCAACAAGGGCGCCAGCCACCCTGAGCTGCTGGTTCTGACGTGGATGGCGGCTCGTGCTCCTTCCCTGGCTGGCCACCCGCGGCCCTGTTAGGCTGCCTCTCCTGGGAGCCCCGGCCACTGAGGTGGCTCCCTGCCAACTGGCACCCGGAGGCACCGGGGCTCCAGAAGGAAGGTGGTGCACCAGTGCCGACCAGTGCTGAGGCCGCTGTGGCCAGTGCTGCCCAGCAGCAGGATAGGCCCCTCATGTTGCTCTGCCCTGGTGACTCACTGGGCAGCTGGCCACCACTGCTGGGAGACAGGAGCCACCTGTCCCTGGTGCCCTCGAACGTGGCCCAAGCTGGCGGGCAGACTGCAGGGCCCCTCATGGAGGAGCCGCCCAGGGGACGGCTTCCTGGACGGGAGGAGAACCGCAGTCCGCGCCAGGGTGGGGGAGGCAGGAGGCCTGGGCAGCGTCCCCCGCGGACCCGTGGGGGTGCTCCGCAGTGAGGCCGCCATGGAAACCGTGTGTAGCCATGGAAAACAGCGTCTTCCCTGATGAATCATCTCCTAAGTTGGGAGGAAAATTCACTGACCAGTGGAGGCCGGGAAAGGAAATAAAGCACGTCCTGAGCCCCGGACGCGGGGGGCCAGGTGTCCCCACCCAGGCGGCTTCCTGGTACCACACCCACTGCATGGGGCTCTGGGCACCCGACTACCCGTCCTTGGGCTCACGCCCAGCCCCACCACAGGCTCCGCTCTCACTCCCCGAGTCATGTGGCGTGTCCAGAGCAGGCCCTAATCCTCCAGCTCCCGTGGCGGGGCGGCGCTGGCAGCCCGGGTGTCCAGGGTGCTGCTGACCATCAGCACCCAGCACATGGCAGGAGGCTCGGCGTGCAGGGCGCGGGCAGCCCGGGGGTGTGCAGCTGTGTGCTGTCCTTGTGGACAGGCACTGTGAGGCCTCAGGACATAGAGGAACTCTGGGCTGGGCACAGGGCCACTGCCTGCGCCTGGAGGTTCCGGGGCCTCTCTCTTTGCAAGGTCAATGAGGCCTGGTAGGGGTTCCTGCTGCCCAAGGGGCAACACCCACCAGGGCACCCTGGCTGGAGACCGGAGCCGGGGCCATGGGCGGGACCCCTCTCCTGACCTGGTGTCCTCTCGTCCTGCCCTGCTTACCCCCACTGCCCCTTCAGAAAGTCCCTTGGTCCTGGCCCTGCCCACCCTGCAGGGTGCCCTGTTTAGTGGCGGCCCTGAGGCAGGGACCCTCCACCTGGCCCACTCAGAGCTTCACTTCTCAGAGCACAGGGCCGGCGTTTGTAAAACGGGTTTTAGCCGACACACCCAGAGCCCCGGCCACACCCCAGGGCCCGACTGGCTACAGCCTGGTCTCCACACACCGGCTCTCCACACCTGCAGGCCCCGGAGCAGGAGGTGCAGCTGGGCACCCAGGCCGTGGGCGCTCCAGGGAGGCCCAGCTCCGCTCGCCCGGGGGCCTCCCTGCAGCCTCCTTCCACCCACTGAGGGGTCTGCACAGGGCGGGTTCCTTCCTCTCTCCTGTGCCCACTGCGGGAGCCCGCGAGCCCAGAGAGCTGGGGGGAAAGAGGAGCCCAGGCAGCCCCGACTGGTACTGTGGCCTCCGCAGGGGCCCATGGACCTGGTTCTGGGGGTCCTCAGAGGCCAGGGGCAGATCCCCCAGACAGCCCAGGCTGGCCTCCTCCAGGGCCCGGCCCTCTCTCCTGGAGCCTCCCCTGACCGGGCAGTCCTGCCAGTGCAGTCCTGCCAGTGCACCTGCCCCTCTCCCTGTGCTGCCCAGGACGCAGGCCCAGCCAGGTGGTGCTGGGGGTGAGAGGCAGAGAGGGACAAAGACCTCCGCCCCAGGCGGGCTCAGGACCTCAGGCCAGGACCTGCCTGGGGCCCAAGTCCCTGTCAGCAGGAGGGGAGGGTGGGCTGCCACCCCTCTGCCCTTGGACACAGGCACACTGCAGCCCACCCCTGGTGCGCTGTTGGCCATCCTGAGGCAGTGCCTCCCCCACCGAGGCCAGGCTGCCCAGGACGGCAAGGCAGCAGGACTGGGCAGGCCTCTCTAACCTGGCCTGGCTCTGGTTTGGGAGGCAGACACGGCACCGAGACCAGCGGGCAGCCCAGGGGCCCTGGTGGGCTTGGAGGGAGGGAGATGGAGGCAGAGGGACAGAGGGAGACAGAGGGACAGGACAGGAGGGTGGGAGCAGGGGCAGAACGCTGGGGGACGGCACTGGGGCACGGGTCTTCCACAGCCGCCTGTGCTCCCTTGGCAGGGCGCGTGTGGCTGCTGCCATCACCAGGGCCACTCCAAGGGGAGCGCGTGGACGTCGAGCAGTGGCCCCGCTCTGGGCGCTATGGGGCTGTCTGCTCCGGGGGCCTGCGGCCTGCACCGTCTGGAGACAGCCTCTGGAGGGGCCCTGGCGCAGCTGGAGGGTGGGAGGCGCCCCTGGGCCTGCCCTCCCCAGAGGCCTCCCGGGATGACTGTGGCAGCCTGGGTGGGCAGGGGTGGGCATGTGCACTGAGGGGTGCTGGCCGGAGGAGCCCTGGTGCCACCAGGTCCTCTGGCTGCCAGCCCCCACTGCAGGCCTGTGCCAGGGTGTGTCCTGCAGCAGACGTGGAAAGGCCCCTGGGGCAGGCAGACTCAGGGTGGGACCAGGGGGCCCCTTGTCCCCCCACGGAAGGTGACAGGCTCCACCTGCCCCTCCTTTCAGACTGGGCCAGCCTCGCTGCCCGGCTCCCAGGACAGGTCACCTCTGCACAGGGTGCTCCAGCCTCAGTGGACCAGCAGGTGTCCAGAGCCCTGGGGGGACTCCACTGTCCTGGGGTCCACATGCTGTGGCCCCCGTTCCTCCCCTGCTCGACGCCCAGCCTGGGAGCCCTGGGTGCCCTAAGTGTGAAGCGACCGAGGCTGCTGCTCAGCACCCTGCGGGCAGCTCCAAGGCCTCGGCCATGTTCAGAAGCCAGGGTGGGTCAGGTGGGGGGCGGGGACTCAGGTGGCACTCTGAGGGAGGGTGGGCCCAGGAGAGGCCGGCTGGGGGTCCCGGGAGTGAGCTTGGGTTTTAAAGGGTCTCCTCTGCAGCCCTTCAGCGGTCGCTGTGTGGAAACTTCCGTCCTGTCTCGTGGGTCTTGGCGTCATAAGGCGCTGGGCTGAGGACGGCCAGCATCAGGAGCCCCGGCACTCTGGAATCTCCTCTGGGCCAAGCCCGAGTGCCCTCTGCCCACACATGTGCTCCCCTAAACAGTGGGCGACCCAGGAGAAACCACGGTGGCTGGCAGACCCTGGCCCCCCACGGGCGCCCTCAGGGAAAGCCGGGGGCACATGAGTCCCATGGCGTCCAGGGCCTTGGGGGAGAGGGGCTGCTGCCTTCCCAGCTCTGGGAGGTCTGCGGCCGGCGGGTGGGCGGGAGGAGTGTGACTCAGCCGGCCGCCCCGCCCCCGCCCCTCCCTCCGCCCGCCGCCCGCCCTTCTGGTCCTCGGAGCAGCGAGCAGCGCTGAGGAAGACAGCCCTCCTCTGCAGTCCACCCAGGCCCACCCTGACGCCGGCCCTCCTCAGTGGTGCCCCAGGCCGGCCGAGACATGAGGCTGGCCCAGGCCCTGCTGCCCCTGCTCCTGCAGGCCTGGTGGGTGGCCGCCCAGGACATCCCTGAGACCGCGAGGGCCATTGCCTTCCAAGGTTAGTGTCCTGCTGCGAGGCTGGCTCCAGCTGGCTGCATCGGGAGGGACAGGAGGGACACGGGGTCCAGACCGTCGGCCCGACCTTGGCGGGAGAGCCAAGAGCCACAGAGTAGAGTGTCGGGGGCCTGAGGCTCCCAGCCTGCTCCCTGTTCCAGGAAGCTAGGTGTCCGACGAGGTCCCCACCAGGGCCTGGGCTCCAGTCACAGCCCATTCTCAGGAGGACGCGCAGCTGGGACACTCCAGAGGGACCACTCCCAGGGAGCCAATGGCCCTCACTCCTGGTCAGCCATCTCTTCCTGTGAAGGGCTGACTTGGGCCCACTGCTGCTGACCCCTGTGACCACCCACCTGGCAGCCGGCCTACAGTCAGGGAGACCCGCCGACATGACCTTGGCTGAGGTCATGCCCCGTGGCTTCAGATTCGACCTGAAAAGTTAGCGGGAAGCAGTCCTGAGCAGCCCAGGCCCAGGCTGCAGGCAGGAGGCCTGTGTGTCCGCCTCACCCGCCCTGCTGGCCGGCCTCTTCCCTGGGGCTGGGAGCTGTGGCCCACGGCCCTGCTGCTGGGGGATGGGGGCAGCAGGAGCCACTGGCCTGCAGGAGGTGGGCACTGGCCCAGCTCACAGACCCTTCCTGGCCCAGACTGCCCCGTGGACCTGTTCTTTGTGCTGGACACCTCTGAGAGTGTGGCCCTGCGGCTGAAGCCCTACGGGGCCCTGGTGGACAAGGTGAAGTCCTTCACCAAGCGCTTCATCGACAACCTGAGAGACAGGTATGGCACACCGATGGCTGTCCTGTGTGGGGGCTCAGGGGACGCAGGCAGAGCCTGACCCTCCGTCTGAGAGGCTGCCCAGCCCCTCCCAGGGTCCCGGTGCAGAAGCTGGCAAGAGCCTGGGGGTGACATAGTGCTGGCCTGGGGCAGCCCTGGCCAACAGGGGGCTGAGGGGACTCAGGAGGAACTGAAGTTCCCCGGAGGAAACCCAGTGGGTTCAGGGACCTGGCCCTGAGGTGAGCGGCCTGCTGCCTGGATGCCCCTTAACCAGCTGGGCCCACCCCCTGCCTCGCCCATGTGAGCCAGCAGACCCCTGCCCAGGGCCTGGTTCCCTCGAGTCCCTAGTTCCTGCCACCCATCTGCCTAGTTTCTGGGGTCCCCCGCAGGGCTCTGGGTATGGGGAGGGCACACCCACCCACTGCTGTCCTGCCCATCTGTGGATCTACTGGGGAGCGGGGGACACAAGTGGACAGGGCGGGTGTGTGCCCCAAGAGCCAGGCCCTGCCCCCTCCTGTGACAGGGACCCCTGGTGGGGGTCACATGGGCTCCTCTAGTGCAGGCCTCAGCCCTGGCCCCACCCATCCCTGCTGACCAGCTGACCAGGTGGAGGAGGGAGGGGTGGTGTGCACTGTCCTTGGGGGGCAGCTCTGCAGTAGCCGGGTGACTCAGAGGCCCCCTGGGGGTGTCCTTGATCCCTCCGCTCAGACTCTCCTGCCTCAGTTTCCCCACCTGTGAGACTGAGAGCCCCCGGCCGTGCTCTCTAATCCACATGGGGACTCCAGTGTGCCACTTGGAGCTGCCCTGCCCTGCCCACACGCCCGCCCACTGCGCACCTCCCAGGGCAGGGCTGTGGCCCTGAGAGGATGCTGTGTGGTCTGCAGGTACTACCGGTGTGACCGCAACCTGGTGTGGAACGCGGGCGCCCTGCACTACAGCGACGAGGTGGAGATCATCCGCGGGCTCACACGCATGCCCAGCGGGCGCGATGAGCTCAAGGCCAGCGTGGACGCTGTCAAGTACTTCGGCAAGGGCACCTACACTGACTGCGCCATCAAGAAGGGGCTGGAGGAGCTGCTCATCGGGTGAGTGGTCCTGGCGTTGGAAGCTGAGGCTTTTGGGAAGATGTGGCCCCCCCAGAACTTGTCCATCTCAGCACTATATGGTCAGGACAGAGGCAGCAGCCCTGCCCGGGCCTCTGCTCTGTGGGTCCCGACCCTGAGCACCCACGGCCGCCCTCCAGGGGCTCCCACCTGAAGGAGAACAAGTACCTGATCGTGGTGACCGATGGGCACCCACTGGAGGGCTACAAGGAGCCGTGTGGGGGCCTGGAGGACGCCGTGAATGAGGCCAAACACCTGGGCATCAAGGTCTTCTCCGTGGCCATCACGCCCGACCACCTGGTGAGCGCCCTCCTGGGCCCTGGACACGTGGGCGGGCGCCACCTGCCCACAGACCCCGCACGGCCTGCACATGCTTGGCACCTGCCAGGGCCCTGGTGCGGCCCGGGGTGGGGACCCTCCAGCACGTGGCCCCTGCCGTTGACAGGATCTAGCGGGAGGCTGAGCGCTGAGCACCCGGCACGGGCCTGCGCCCCCGGCCGCCCGCCCCAGCCCCCGGCCTCACGCGTGCCCACCGCTGCCCCCAGGAGCCGCGACTGAGCATCATCGCCACCGACCACACGTACCGGCGCAACTTCACCGCGGCAGACTGGGGACAGAGCCGCGGCGCGGAGGAGGCCATCAGTCAGACCATTGACACCATCGTGGACATGATAGTGAGCGCGCGC